CCGATTTGGAGAAGAAGAGGACTAATGAGCATTCCACCGCCAATTTGGGCCTTTCCCCCCCCCAATCCCAAAGAAGGCCCCCCAAAAACTCCCACCCCAACAGGAGCCCATTCCGAGGAGACCTTCACCTTATTTCAGTTCCAGATTCATCAAACCTGTTGACTTTAATTTTGACCAACAAAAAGCTAATTTAATCAACAGCAAGTGGTATTGGACCTTTTCAGAGTCTTGGTTACTATGTGAAGTGTGGTTGCTTTGAACATTGTCATTGAAACAAATGCAGAGAGTAAAGAAGATAGTGAGAGGTATTTGAAGCGACGAGAGGAACCAGTAGAGACCTCCACATGGCTTGATCGATATGATTCCCTGTTCAAACCAAAAGTATGAACTATTACCAAGTTAAAATCCAACCATGCCACAAAGATTCAATAACTTGAAGGAATTATAACACTTTAAATACGTTTCAACTATAATTTGACAATTTTGAATGCAGAACAAGTCAAGTTTTCAAAATAATAATCAAATAACACAAAAAGATACACTCTCTTCTTTCTAAATAGGCAGTATAAAAATATTCTGGAGGGAAAGTAAGAAACACACATAACTTGAGAGTTGAGAGAGTCAAAATTCAATTTAATCGACCCAAAAAAGAAAAAGCATTAGATTCATACCTGACCGTATTTGTTTCCACGAAAAAGATTAATAGAGAAGAACACTAACCAAATGATCACTAAAACTCCAAGCTTCATCCATGGAAACCTAATCATTCCTCTCTCTACTTCAGCTTCTCCTTCATTAGCCAGAAGCGGCGATCTCGCTACCTTGATCCTATCATCATCTCTTCGACTCCTAATCTTCTCTCTTTCCGACTCCAAATTCCAGTAAGAAACTCCCTTTTTACATGTCTTCATCGTTGACCAGGCGAGGAACACAGCGAAGAGTGACAACACAAGCCAATTTGGGAACATACGGTTACAGATCACACCAATACTAACTCCAAGAAGTAGACATGGCTGAAGAGTGAGAGATAAATCGAAATCGATTAATGTTTTGTCTCTTGATTTAGGGTTTCTGGCGAAAAGATTGCATCCCACGTTTGCTATGGAGACTCCGGTTATCATGAACGCTGAGAAGCTCGAAGCTGTTTTCATTTCGAGACCGGAGATTGTCGTCATTATTGAGAGGAAGAGTGCACCGCCTCCGGCGCTGGAGATTGAGGCGGCGAAGAATGAGAGAACGGCGGCGATTATCGTTGGAATGGAGAATTTGATAGTTGACTCGTTCAAATTCGGCGGGAAATGGAGCCATTGGCTTGTTGCGTTGAGGATTTGATTTTGGTCTGCAATGGCGGTTGGATTGAAGATGGTGATTATGGAGAGAAGTAGAGGGACTAAATTGATCGTCATTTTCTTTGCTTAGGGGGCTTTTTGTAATCTTTTGAAAGTTTTGGGGGTTTTTGTTTGGAGCGTTAGAATTTTTATGCGCATTATTGATTGGTTTATATATGAATCAACAAGGGTTTTAGTCAACTGCAATTCTAAGACAAGATATTTATTACGGAATTAACTAATTTAAGAAAATTTGGTGAAATAATGCTAAAGATGACAAATGCAATTATTTTTTCTATGTTTTTGTAGATCTAGTGATATTATTTTATTGAAATATTTATTTAAAGGAGCTCATTTTCCATAACCTCCAGATTTGTTGTTGTTTTAGGTACTTGTAAAAAGTGGTAATAACATTATGTAAAAAGACTATCTCACCAAGTTACATTTTTCGTTCTTTTATACATATAATTTTTTTGGAAATAATTAATAGAAATAAAAGACGAGAAATACATATGTGGGAGACAAGTTCTACAAGAAGTTTGCATAGTTATGAAAAATAGCCGACTGAATAAATAATTAATTAAATAAATAAACAGAGGATATATAATCCATAACAAAATAAGAAATGCAAAAAAAAGGTAAAATTATTACATTAACCATTTCCACTGAATTAATACACTCAAAAAACAAAATTGATTTTAAGCCCAAGGGCTAATGGAACACTCCCAAGGAAGAGTAGGGAACCTCTCACTATCTTTGCAATAATCGTATACGACGAGATTGCGCTGCACCCACGCATAATCCATTTTCTGTGTCTTGGACAAATGCCACGCGTCGTACTGATCCCACCAATTCTCTGTTGTGGTGGAGACGCATGCAGGGAATGGATCCTTCCAACGGCAGCCTTCGACGGCGAAGTCCTTGTAAGAAGAGACGAACGGAGCTTTTTTCCAGTCAGTCTTCTCGAGACCGCCACGTGTCGCCCAATCATCGGCGTTCCAAATGCTAGAGAACAAGTACATCGGCTTCTGGTTCGGGAAGAAATCGTTGTTTGGTACCTTATCACTGTTCTTGTACACTCGAATCGGTACCCTATCCACGAAGAACCTGGTTTGCATTGAATTAAACCGGGTTACGCATTGTACCAATCGATCTAATTAGTTTTGGTTGACCAATTCGGTTCGATTTTTGGTCTAGTTTGAGTTCTTTAAAGTTTGGTTTAGGTAGGCTAGCTTTGGTCATTGGAATTTTTGTGTCGGTCGAAATTTGAATCTGCACCGTTTAAGTTTCTAAAAGCTAAACGTAAGAAAACCGGATCAAACCTAGTGTGAAATTAATGTGTGGATTGAATTATTTTATTATGAATGGAATGATGTTTTTAACCGATCCTAAACCTAAGCTTTCGTTTTCTACCCAAAATTTCCGGTTCAGTTAGTGGCATCTCTATCTATTTAGCCAAGATCAAGAGAGGACTTACACAAGCTGGTGGTTATTCCAAAGAATTGAGTAGGTGTGATAATCTTTGGTCGGATCGAACCAGAGGGAATGTCGCATCTCCCGATTCCCAGTTCCGTTCTTATACACATTGGTCTGAATAATGTAAGGCTGTCCGGTTCGGTTCCCTAGAAATTCGAAATCTATCTCGTCTCTCTCCGGCCCTGCCCCATTCTCCGAACACATCTGCTCATCAAGCAAATTTAAAAAGAAATTATACAAAAAAATCATTGGTTTATCTTCTTCACAAGATTAAATAATAAATAATAACGACGGCTCACGTAGTAAGCGGTGACGACGCCGGCTGAGTCGCCGCCTACGAGCTTAAGCTTCATACTGAACCATCCGAATCTATACATGTGCTTTGTCTGAAATCCACATCCTGTTTTATTTTTTTCATCCAATCAAAATATTTAAAATTTCAATATAATAATCGAGAGACTAAAAGTCCAATCATTTAATTTCACAAGAAGTTAAAATATGTCATGTACATTTAAGTAGGAACAGAGTTTCAGTGTAATTTAAAAAGACTAGAACGGCATTGATCCTAAACCGGAAGCAAATTGGATATGAACGTACCGGTGTCGTTGTCTAAGGAAAGATTCCAGATCTCTCCATCCTCGGAAGTCGTGAAGTGATTTTCAGACCACATAATGTTGAAATTATCTTCAAAGGATTGTGTCGGTGTTGCTGTGATAGAAGAACAAGACGCTATTAGAGCCGTCATGAACACGAAAAGAGCGGCCATGGAAGAACAGCTTGTGATTATTCTCCTTTGCGTCTCCATTGGTTGTCTCTGCTTCGAATATTTCGAAGAGAGAGAGATAATGCAATTTACGCTTGTTCCGTGAGTGAGAAGAGTATAGAGCTTTCTTGCGTTAATTATAAAGACCGGAAAATTTACTGTTTTGACCTTTAATAATTATTTAAATTTTTGTTAAAATTATTATGGGTTTCGACTTTTGATAAGGTTTATTTTTCTAAAGTTTTTCATGTAATGATGATATATATTGTATACTAACAAAGTTGTAAAAAAAGGACAAAAAAGGTAAATGGAAAAGTTAATTAAAGAAAACTAACAGTAAACTCAATGATTTATTTATGTTAACGCCGACCGATTTATTCATTAAGTTGATGGGTTTGGTCATTTAAACCAAATTGATGAGCTACTAAGGGTATATAGGGAATTATAGAAAATAACAGCAGAACATGGAGAATTGGATCGCCAGGCTGCCACCAAGTGGAAGTGGGATCCATAGAAATGTTCATGTAAAAGCAAAAACAAAAACATTATTCAATTCTGGACTTTAATTCTTTGGTTAATCTTCACTATATGTAAATCTTTAATGGGGAATATGGTATCTAACAAAACTCACATAATAGGCAACATGCTTCGGACCATAATATTATATGTTCAAAACAAAAAAAGTTGGCCTCTCATATTTTGTTAGCCCAAGACAAGGCACGTGAAACAAGCACGTTATGAATAAGAAAGCAGGGAAATAATACACCTGGAGTTACTAAATTATTAGGTTGACAATGAGAAAGATTAGTTTTATTGGACTGTCTCTTCCATTATCCGGTATTCTTTACATTAATTTTTACATTATTACTATTTTTGTATGGATATCAATTTTCAGATCTAAGATTGCAGACTGAAGTTGCATATAATCATACAAATATACGCAACTCGACCTTTTTACTTTAGACTATAAGTTTAAAGAGTATAATAGAGTATTAAGATTAATTGTGATATTGAAACAAACTAATTTATGATACACTAATACCATTGAAATGATTTACGAGAGATGAAAAGTTGGTAAATATGTATGATTATACATATAGCTCTCTTCTAGTTTGATTATACATATAACTCTCTAATATTTACTCATGAGAATTTTTTTCAGTCACCAATACGAAACTCCTTTAGGCATTTTGGAGTCCATGTATTAGTCTCTCCTCTTTTATATACTAAAAGTGGCTCATATGTTTTTTCATATATAATATCTGAGCAATGTCGGCATGTCGGTCCAAACAAGAGAATCAAAATTTAATACATTTCGCCATCGACAGTTTTATTTGGTTATTAATTATTAGTTTAAACATTCTTATAACAAGACAGTTTGGCCGAGTGGTCTAAGGCGCCAGATTTAGGCTCTGGTCCGAAAGGGCGTGGGTTCAAATCCCACAGCTGTCAATTCTTTTTCCTCTGTTTCTTAAACCCTCTAGGTCATCAAGAAGGTCTTATATTTTCATGTAGTACCTATAAAAGCTCCTTGATTTTTGAATAATTCTTCACTTCTCCAGTATTTTCCGGCAATTCCAAATCTCTCTATCTCCGTTCTTCTTCGAATCCAATCAGAGAGAGAGATCGAAAATGGTGATTCATACTAATCTCTCATATCGTTCCTTCCTCTTAATCGCGTTTTTATTTACCCTAGCGAATCCAGAATCGGATTCAGATCTCATAAACGAGCTTGTTTCGCTCCGATCAGCCGCCGAATCAGGTTTGATTCCCCTCAACGACGAAGACGTTTCCAAATTCATAACCTCCGTAGCCACTCCTAGACCTTACTCTCTCATCATCTTCTTCGACGCAATTCATCTCCACGGCAATAGCCAGCTCCGTCTTCCAGAGTTCCGCCGCGAATTCGGACTCGTCTCCGCCACTTTCATCGCCAACAACAACAATGGAACTAACGGAAAAAAGCTCTTCTTCTGCGAGATCGAATCAACTCACTCTGTGGCTTCGTTCCAGCGCTTCGCCGTCGAGAATCTACCGCACATTTCCCTCGTTAGCCCTATGACGGAGAATTTAACAGAATCAGATCAAATGGACGGTGGAGATTTCACTGGATTAGCCGAATCAATGGCAGAGTTCGTCGAACGTTTAACCAAACTCACTGTTGGTCCAATCCAACGACCGCCGCTCCTATCGAAGACACAAATCGGAATCATAGTAGCATTTCTCATAATCTCGACTCCGATTCTAATCAAGAAGATTCTAAAAGGAGAAACGCTTCTCCATGACCGTAGAATCTGGTTAGTCGGCGCGGTTTTCGTCTACTTCTTCAGCGTCTCGGGGACAATGCATAACATTATTAGAGAAATGCCAATGTATATCAAAGATTATGAAGATTCAAATAAGTTTGTTTTCTTTATCGAAGAATCAGAGATGCAGCTTGGAGCAGAAGGTTTCTTTGTAGGGTTTTTGTATACTGTTGTTGGATTGCTTTTGGCGTTTGTTACTAATGTGCTTGTTCGAGTTAAGAAACTCGAAGAGCAGAGGATGGCTATGCTTTTGTCTCTGTCGATATCGTTTTGGGCTGTGAGGAAAGTTGTTTACTTGGATAATTGGAAGACTGGATATGAAATTTACCCATATTGGCCATCAAGTTGGCGACATTGATTGATCTTCACGAAAGGTTAGTTTTTCAAGATTGTGGAACTGATTTATTAGTGTTGTGCTTTCAATAATTGAACATATAGACAAGTTTATGGTTATTCAATAGCAGTTTAGGATTCACGAATTTGTGTTGTTCTCTAGGACTTATAATGCTAGCTTATGGTGTTGCTTCTGCATCCATTGAGAAAGAGTACTCTACCAAAGAATCATTGCTTTACTATGTGTGAAGGTTTGAAAAAGATTGTATGCAATACTTGACCCACAAGAAACCTTTTTAAGAGTGAAAAGATCCTCTCATTGTTCTTTACTTCTTTTCTTCCAACTTTGTTTGCAAATTAAGCATCTTTTTCCCCACCCTAGAAGTTAATTCCTTAAAGAGAATTCATGTTTATATTCCTCTATGGTTTTGCTAAGAAATCAATTTTGTTTTGGAAATTTTGACTATGGCAGAGACAAATAAAGGAATTGAAGAAGAAGTGGCAAGTGCTTTTGTGAATCACTACTACCATATCTTTGACAACGATCGATCATCTCTTTCTTCTCTCTATAATCCCACCTCGTTGCTCACTTTTGAAGGCCAAAAGATTTACGGCGTGGAAAACATCTCCAATAAGCTTAAACAACTTCCGTTCGATCAATGCCGTCATTTGATCAGCACCGTCGATTCTCAGCCGTCTTCAATAGCCGGTGGATGTGGCGGAATCCTAGTTTTTGTGAGCGGTAGCCTCCAATTACATGGGGAGGATCATCCTCTTAGGTTTAGCCAGGTCTATCTATCTCTTATCTATTTGTGATGGATACAAGGTTTAATTTGGTTAAACGATATGCTTCATTAATGTTCATAAAACAAAATGCTGAATCACAAGGTTTTTTACTTGTGCTATAATAATCTTCAAGTTTTAATGTTGTTACTAAATTATATATATGAAACAATAAGCTATATAGTATGAGCCTGTATATATTTTTTTGTTGAATTTTTAGTTGACTGGAATAATAATGTTATCTATTAATTGCAGACGTTTCACTTGATTCCGGTTCTACAAGGAAGTTTCTTCGTCCAAAATGAGATGTTTCGGCTCAATTATGGTTGAACTTGAACAGATTAAGACTTTAATGTTTGTAATCGATCTTTTATATATCGAAATCCGACTAATAATGCAGTCACGTATTTAATGAAAATCATTTCATCTTGACTACTAAAATATATTGACTTTTTTTCTGGGTTATTCTCATATATGTAAGCAAGTTTCAATAGTTCATTAAAAAACATTCGGTAATTGTAGATTGGTAAAATCCATACTATATGTGCGCGTGGTAGCTAGATACACTTTTTAAAAAAAGCAGAATAAGAATTTTTTGCTCTCATATAATCTTATCCGCTCGTAGTTTTATTTTCAAAATAGTGAAAATCGACGGAAAAATCGGACAGATATGAGGCTATGACAATCTTTTGAATCTTGACCATCCCCTTTTTACTCAAAACCATTTCCTTCTCTTCCACGAAACAATTTTTTTTTCTCTCTCTCTCTTTCTCTCTGCCTTTCCCTGATCAAATTCTCACGAACTAAAATATGAAGAGCCGGAGCAGAAACTTAGCCACCCTGAGTTTGATGATAATTACGTTATTGACATGGACGAAGATCGTGGAAGGACAAGAAGCACTACTAGGTAAGAAAGTATTGCCGCTATGTCACAGAGAATGTATGCCAATATGCATGAAAGTAACCGAAGCAACGCAAGAGATTTGCGAACCTGCATGCCAATCTGGCTGTCTCCAGCTTCAAGGTAGAGGCACCGGACTTTCAGCCTCCGATCAAGGAGTCGATATGGTCATCGCATAAAACTTTTTTATATAGTCATTACTAAGATAGACACCAATATAGTTGCTTGATTTCTTTATATGAATATATAGATGTAAAATCGGGTTTCATCCTTTTTTTTTTTTTTAATGATATATTCATCAATCTCTACATTTTTTAATTTTATTTTGTGTTTAAGAGAGAATACAACATCGTGGAACAATCGAAATATCGAAAACTTTTTTTTTTTTGGTTTTAAAAAATCGAATACATTTTTTTTTTTTTTTTTTGATAACCCAGTGTCCAGACCACACTGTGATCCGACTAGCTCACTGGGCCTAAGCCCGCGTGCCTGGGATTTTGAAGCCTCCACTTAAGGGCCCCCTGGAACTGGTAGTTTGGGACGCTGCGCCCCGCAGGTAAATTGTGCAGTGGCCGGGACTCGAAGCCGGGTGGCGGGTGCCTCAGCCGAAGTTCCTTTACCACCAGGAGACAAGCACCCGGTTAAAATCGAAAATCGAATACTTCATGAGGACGAGAAGAAGGATAATAGAAAGCGCGACAAGAAGAGCCATTATTTGTTCTTCTCCCCTATCTTATGAATCGTTAGACAAAAATAAGATGATTTTACTTATTTTAATAAAAATATAGGGAAACTTACCAACAAACAGTAAAACAATACAAATCCACAATGCCAAAAGGAATAAAATTAAACATCGCGATTCGAAAGGGAGACCTTTTAGTTCTGATATTTAGGGACAAAATCATAACAAAAATGATCGCAAATTATATTGGGGGTTATTGTTGATTTTGCCTTTTTTCATCAAAATTTTTTGAAAAAACCATTTTTACTAAAATTTTACGGATTTGCTATTTTCTAACACTTAAAAATATACGTATTTACGATTTTTTTTTACAAAATAAAAAAGAATTTTGTCGACGGACAAAATTCATTTTAATAATAAGGCTAGACAAGTTTGGACATATATCGTTTGATTTAATCGATATATATATATAATTATATGCTAATTAAATATTAATTAATTGATAGCTATGAAAAATAAATTAATTAAGAGAATACTAGAAAAAAATGAAGAGAAAATGGACATGCTTATCCCCAGGCTTCTAGCAACTATACTAGATAATGAAGAGAATATGGACAGTAATCAGTAATTATGCATTGCTTAGACTAATAATCCCACAAGGTGCGTCGTCTGTAAATGCTGAATGCATCAATTATTGCTGGGAAGAGAAAAATGATAAAATTGTTTTTAAAAATGATACTTAAAGTTCGTTGAAAAGTATATAGGATCTAATTATGAATTGTATTTTTCGGATTATTTTCTACAATTACTGATATATTGAAGCACCGTTTGTTTATATAAAAGTATCGCTTCTTTCTTCATTACAAGAAACCTATTGGATCGATGATAAAACTATATCAACTAAATTGAAAAGAGCGCATCTAGGATTTTTATTTTCTTTCTTACTTTAGTGGACTTATCCTTTTGGAAAATTTGAATAAATCGAAAGTGACCCTAGTGGCTGGACAATCACAAAAGTCGAAGACCAGAAAATTTACTTAATTTACACTTGCAGATAAAAAGTAATACTCCCTCCGTTTCAAAATATAAAGCGTTTTAGCTAATAGTACGTCGATTAAGAAGATCTACTTTTTAAAAGTTCAGCCAATCATAAAAGAGACTGTATAATAAAAATAATCATAAAATATTAAAGTAATATATAATTTGCATAGAAACTTGAAAACGACTTATATTTTGAAATAAAAGAGTTTCTCCAAAACATCTTATATTTAGAAACGGAGGGAGTATATTGTTAAACAATCACTAGAATAGTCAATAAAAGATATGAGACACCAAACAAAAATAAAATAATTCAGAACAACTATAGTTAAAAATTGTAAATGAAACAAACATACTAAACTGAATAAATACAGACCAAACAATTCACAATTCTGTTTGAGTGATTGAAAAAAACATAATAAATGATGTGTTACAAATATTATTTAACAAAAAGGAAATGTTATAAATATTTGAATTGTACAATGGTTAAAGTAACGTTTTATCATAAAACTATCAACTAGTTTGGAAAGCGCGCATCTAGAATTTTTATTTTTCTTCTTGCTTTAGTGGACTTATCCTTTTGGAAATTGAATATATGAAAAATGACCCTAGTGGCTGGACAATCACAAAAGTTGAAGACAATAAAATTTACTTAATTTACACTTGCGGATAAAGAGTTATATATTGTTAAACAATCACTAAAAAAAAAGTTATAAAATTATTAAATAAAATAATTGTTATTCAATAATTCTAATGGTAAAAGCATATCACACACTGTAGGAGTCAAATTGATCATCGAGAACAACAAAAAAATTATAAATAGAATAAACATAATAGACAGGTCAAACAATTCAAAATAATATTTGAAATGGTTGAAAAAACATAATAAATGGTGTGTTACTACTCCTTCTGTTTCACAAAAAATGTCATTTTAGAGTTTTGCACACAGATTAAGAAAACATTAAAATTTTTATTTTTTCTAAATAAAAACATCATTAACTATATACCTAAACATAATCTGCCCAATAGTAAAACAATATGCAGAATACTAATAGTTATAAAACATAAAAAATCATTAAATTTTGCATTGAAAACCTAAAACGATACTCTTTGTGAAACAAAAATAAAACCTTAAAACGACACTCTTTATGAAACGGAGAGAGTAATATTCATTAACAAAACAGTAAATTGTTACAAATATCTAAATCGTACAAATGCAACAAATGTTGTAGAACACTTGTAGATCTCTGTATCTCTATCTAACTCTCATTATAGACAAATAAAAATGATAATAACATGCTTTAAATGTTATTTTATGTTTTCAGTAAATAAAAAATAAGAAAAAGTTATGATTAGATATCAAAACAGAGTAGACAGATATCATGATAGTATGATACCAGTTGTTTTTCATAATTGATTAATGTTTTTAGTTATTGTCTAATAACTTTTTTTTTTTTGGATAGTTATTAACTTATTATGTAACAATATAGTTAGTTCAATGTTCATACTTAACTGAAAGATAGTTGAATAGGATAATTGAGCTAAAGTTGTTGGTTGTGCTCGATGTAGTGGTTATTGATTCGAAATCTATTTGTAATGAAATCATTTAATAAAGTTGGACCGTTTTGAAAGTCACGAGGTGGTTTGAAAAGACGATTGGAGAAATTGATTAGAAGTACAAAATGGGTTCTCTCGACGAAAAGGTTGTTATTAATAAAACGCAAACGATCATCCTAAATTCCTAATCTTGAATTATGATGGATTTTATTTTTTAGAGAATATGAGTAGATAATACTTTTTTGGACCCAAAATAAAATAAAGATATAATTTTTGGATTAAACATGAATTGGTAAAATATGCACATGTGGTACTACAGACAGCATCGTTGTCTGCGCGAATCTCTAACATTTAATTCATTGTTTTGTCAATAGAAAACAAATAAAGATAGAAATTGCATTTTGTTCTCTGCGCCCTTTCCATCTACTCCAAGACCACATCCACATGTTTACCGTGCCTCTTTAACTTTATCGAACACTCTAAACATATAAATTTTGGAAATTATTAAAGTTAATCTGCTTTCATTTTTTTTTTAATTACTATGATTATATATAAAAATCAGAGTAGGTAGGTATATCATATAATATAGTGACTAATCCAGTTGTTATTTTTCATAATGGATTAATGATTCTAGTGTCTAACAATATATTTCTGTGTTAATTTTTTTGTTTTGTCAATTACTCTCTCTCTCTTCCTGAAAATTTGATGTTTTAGAATTTACACATATATTAAGAAACAATCATGATTTAATCATTTAATATTTTTTTTATTAAATATTTTTAATAATATATGAACTAATAGTAATCTAAAACAGTTAATTATTTGTAATCATTACGTCTTGAAATCTACGATTTGTTAATATCAATTAATAAAAAATAAAAGAATAAGCTAGAAAATCAATTTTTGTGGAACAAACCTAAAACACTAAAACATCAAACTTTCAGGAACGGAGGAAGTAATTTTTATTGGCTAATTATTATGCATCATATATAGCCAGTGCATACTTTAAAAGTCAATTTGGTTGAAAGATTTGACAAGATAGATGAGCTAAAGTCATTGGTTGGGTTCAATATTTCAAGTTTTCAACGTAGTGTATATTTCTTTCGAGTTCAATTTTATGAGATCGGTGTCCTTTATTTGGTTTTTTTAGTAAAGCGTACATAATGTATATCAAACAAGGCATGAATGATAGCTCTTTTCTTTGGTTTTGTCTTTCAAACAGTCTACATTAAATTGTAAACACGTTGGTTTTTTATAAATATAATTTAACTTTAATTTTTTTTAAACATGTATATACATTTGGGAAAGGAAAATTTGAACAAATAACCATAAAAAAAAACTATAATTCACTAACTAACCATAAAAAAAATTTGATCATTATATATTTAATATTCTATGTAATATTGGCAATTATACCCTTCTTTCTCAATTCCCACTCTCGTCTCTAAAGATCTGTAACACTCTTCAACGCCATCGTCACCATCAGTTTTTCATCCACCATCGTTGCCGCCGCAGCGCTCCTCGTCTGACGACAACCGGCTTCTCTCTCAGTTGGAAACGATAAAACAAGGGCCATTTAGACTTTACTCATGTTCAAATTGTTACCCACTTAATTAATACATAATAGGTGTTATATATTTAATTTTTCTTTTTTTGGTTATTATTGCAAAAGATCCTTTGGGAAAAAAGGGAAAGTAAAAAAAAAAAGTCATGACGTGAATATTTGGTAATACAAGTCTACATACTACCATAGAAAGTGGTTTTCATTTTGTCAGGTTGTGATTAATAAACACCAAATTTTCAAGTTCTTCTTTTATTCGAGTCACACTTTTCATTTTCTTTAAAAAATAAGATATAATCATAGAGTTTCTTTTAGTTTATAGAGTATTTGGTGCAACGCGCGATAATGAAAAGCATGTGCAAAGAAAAGGAAATCATAGCACTTCCTCGTGCACTCCACTCACTAGCGTTTTCTATAAAATGGCATTATTCGCGGTAGTGAAAGGCAAACACAATCCCTTTACCTCTAAAGCCAAAGACCAATGTCTAATTCAAACCAACCACTTCTTTCCAAACCAAAGTCATTTAAGCACAAGAATCTATGCCTTGTCCTCTCCTTTGTAGCCATTCTTGGCTCTGCTGCTATCTACACATCCCAACTAATATCCATTAACACCAGTAATGATGATTCCTTATTAACCCCGAGCCAGATTTGCCATGGTGCTCACAACCAAGACTCGTGCCAAGCTCTCTTGTCCGAATTCACGACGTTATCGCTTTCAAAGGTCAACCGCCTCGACCTATTGCACGTGTTCTTGAAGAACTCGGTGTGGCGGCTTGAGAGCACGATGACCATGGTGAGCGAGGCTAGGATCCGCTCGAACGGTGTGAGAGACAAGGCAGGTCTTGCTGACTGCGAGGAGATGATGGACGTATCAAAGGATCGGATGGTGAGTTCGATGGAGGAACTCCGGGGAGGAAACTATAATCTTGAGTCATACTCAAACGTTCACACTTGGCTGAGTAGTGTGCTTACAAACTACATGACATGTTTAGAAAGTATTAGTGATGTCTCCGTTAACTCTAAGCCAAGAGTCAAGCCACAACTCGAGGACTTGGTTTCTAGGGCTAGAGTGGCTCTAGCCATCTTTGTCTCCGTCTTGCCTGCCAGAGACGATCTCAAGATGATCATTTCCAATAGCTTCCCGTCGTGGCTAACTGCTCTTGACAGAAAGCTTTTAGAATCTGCTCCTAAGGTAAACAAAAATCACATTCAAATCTTACTAACTATTGCAATAAATATGGCCATCGACATGTTTTGGATATATTTCTAGTACTTCATATAAGAAAGAAAAAGTTTCGGCTGTAATGTAACTAAAAAAAAAACTTTTACCTATCCATCGTCATTCAAAATCTAAAACTTTGACCCTTTATTAGACACTTAAGGTGACCGCGAACGTCGTGGTGGCAAAAGATGGCACGGGAAAATTCAAAACAGTAAATGAGGCAGTGGCGGCAGCACCGGAGAACAGCAATTCCAGATACGTTATATACGTAAAGAAAGGGGTTTACAAGGAAACTATTGACATAGGAAAGAAAAAGAAGAACTTAATGCTTGTTGGTGATGGCAAAGACGTAACGGTCATAACCGGTAGTTTGAATGTCATTGACGGATCCACCACCTTCAGATCAGCCACTGTTGGTAATATAGTATTTTTCTTTCATTTGTGTCCTTCAACATTATTGTAAGTGTAACCAAAGAATTTATAAGATTGCTTTGAAACATGTACAGCTGCCAACGGAGACGGGTTTATGGCACAAGACATATGGTTCCAAAACACTGCAGGGCCAGCAAAGCACCAGGCTGTGGCTCTCCGCGTGAGCGCTGATCAAACTGTTATAAATCGTTGCCGCATAGATGCGTACCAAGACACGCTCTACACTCACACCCTGCGACAATTCTACCGCGATAGCTACATAACTGGTACGGTAGATTTCATCTTTGGAAACTCTGCCGTGGTATTCCAGAACTGCGATATCGTGGCCCGAAATCCTGGAGCTGGGCAAAAGAACATGTTGACAGCTCAAGGGCGGGAGGATCAGAACCAGAACACAGCCATTTCGATCCAAAAATGTAAATTAACCGCTAGCTCTGATCTTGCTCCTGTGAAAGGATCTGTGAAAACGTTCCTTGGACGGCCGTGGAAGTTGTACTCAAGAACAGTGATCATGCAGTCTTTCATTGACAACCACATCGACCCGGCTGGTTGGTTCCCATGGGATGGCGAGTTTGCGCTCTCGACATTGTACTATGGAGAGTATGCGAATACCGGTCCTGGAGCGGATACGAGTAAGAGAGTGAAGTGGAAGGGATTTAAAGTTATTAAAGACTCAAAGGAGGCCGAACAATTTACTGTGGCGAAGCTTATTCAAGGAGGATTATGGTTGAAGCCCACTGGAGTTACTTTCCAAGAGTGGCTTTGATTTAATGTTTTATTCTTGTATCTTGTGTTGTGTTATGTTACCTCTGTTTTAGTTTGATGTCTTTCTCTGTTTTTGTATGGACTTAACCAATAAATAACATGCTCTGTTTCGTGAACTTATTAGGTTAATGTTTAATATAACAAATTTCGTGATGTGGCATATAATATTTTGAATAACTTGAACACTAACTAATCTTTGCATTTTTTACATACATAATCATATCGCACTCATCATACAAATCCATATAAAATCTATGACTATGTACTAGATGACTAAAACTTTGAGATGTATATGCATGAATATTATGAAATTTTATATTAGATTACATTATTTATCAAAAACACAACTTATCAAAAATATTGTTTTTAAGTACAAAAAAAATCAAAAATCAAAAATCAAAATATTGTTTTTACACGTTTGGTCATATAGGGGATCCTTGCATACTGCATTGTGGATGGGATATAAATTAGTTTTATTAAAAGTAGAGCATTCATCAGTCCTGAATCGTGATATAAACGTTAGCTGATTGTTAGATGACGAGAGAAGAAGGAAAAAAAAAGATCAAAATGCCCATCTAAGTGTTGAGACTTAGTTTTGGACATGTTGCGCGGCTTGCGCCGGCCAACTCTTATTGTTCCGTTTATTTAGTTTTCGAAATTTTCATGTGTTAGCTACAATAGATAAGATAAAATCTTAATTACGAATCCTAGAATACATTAATCTAATTTTTAGGGTTCATAAAAAATATTGAAACTAATAAACGAAAAAAAATATGTTGTCAACGGCTGTTTACTATTCTAAACAGAATTATTGTTGACCATTAGTCAACTACGTTCGAGTTTAAATTTGACAATTTAAAGATTTATTTAAACAAATTAATTAGTTGAAAGTTTTATATAAGAATGGAAAAGAGTAAATGTTTTTGTTGGAAAAATGTATTCAAATTGATTTTTTTTATATGGAAACAAAAAAAAATTGGAGATTTTAGTTGGGAAAATATTTAACTTGGAGGTTTTTTTTGGGATTTTTTCCAAAATTAAATCATTTTATTATGGAACATAATCTGTTAGCATTTAAATTTGAGAATATGTTTAGACTATATAAATCTCACATAAGTTCTCAAACATTTTGGAATAAGAAAAATGGCATACGTCAATAAAAACTTTTCATGGGCTCTTTTATTGATTTTACTTCTTTTTGTTTTTTCATCATATGCAAGATTAAGTATAATGGTTACAAAAAGTGAGATCCACACTATATGCACAAAAAAGAGAGAGAGTTCTTCACTTTGTTTTGAAGTTGTAAAAGCAAATCCTGAAATTGCTAGATTGGATCTTTCTAGCCTCGCCAAATTTTTTTATCAATTATCAAGCTCAAAATATTTCAGATACGTTGAAGCATTTTAAGCTATCAGGAGGCTACACGCCGGATATTAATTCGACATATCACTTATGCGTAGAATTATATGAAGATGCTTTCAACCGTCGTGATTCTTCCTTCAAATATTTGACTGCCAAAGACTATGACGGTTTAAACATTATGGTCGGTGGAACGGTATCAGATATGGTTACGTGTACTGATGATTTGTCAACAATGAAACCAATTCCACAATTCTTTATGACGAGGAGTATTGTCATTGAAAATCTATCTCACATTATCTTGACGATTTCCGAATGTTTTCTAAAAGAAGAAAAAAGTCCTTATTGTCCCCCATATGTTTAATAGTAATATTTGGTATGGCTGTAATGAAAATCTATCTCACATTATCTTGACAATTCTCGAATCTATCTCACAACATGTTGTCTTTTTAATAATATAAACATAAGTAATAAAGGCACACAATTTTTATTTTTTTGGTCGTATATAAAGGCATACAAATTTAGTGACGTTTGAATTAGCCCTTTAGGGCCTGACTGGTTTAAACGCAGCGGACGCAGTTGCATCTGCGGGAGTTTGCGGAAGCGGGCAGTTGCGGTTTCAAGCGTTATGATGCATTTTGAACGACTGGTTAAGCGGTTGAAAATTGGTGCGTTTGCGGGAGTTTTATGACTGGTTAACCAGCGGATGCGACAACGGTTAAATCGAAAATGATCAAAAGAAATATAATAGATAATTATATAATAAAGTATAAAAACACCAAATATTTATATTATTATGATAAAATACAAAAAAATTTATATATAATTAACAATAATAAAATATATAAAATTACTACATAATTATTCAAAATAATATATTTCATAGTTAAGTGCTTATTACTTCATGCATTTGGTTCATAAAAAAACAGCATCAAGTAATATAACAAATTACAAAAAAAAAAAATATGACAAACTAAAAAAATAGATGTTTTGAATTCTTAGATCCTCTAGATTAATAATTTTATTACAATACTTAGTTTGTATTTTGTCATTCTTGAATTTTTGTAAATAGAAAAAATTAGGGTTTTGAGAATTAACGTTAATATATATAGGGTTTGATAATTTTTTTTTTTAATTTATTTGTTATTTATGTATTTTTTTAATATATGTATAGGATTTGAATAATAAAAAAATAATAATTTGCCAACCGCTACCGCCCGCAACCGCAAACGCTTGCGGGAATGAGCTTTTGAATTCGGCGGTTCGGAGCGGTCTAGAGCGGTTCAGAGCGGTATAAAACGTTTTTTATGATTGGTTTTAAACGCTAGCAACCGCAACCGCCCGCAAACGCTGCGTTTGCGGGTAGTAGCGGGAGAACCAATCAAACCCTTAGTGTTATTAATACAGAAATTGTGAAACGTAATAAAATCCTTTTCATTGAAATTTTAGGCACATATGCAAAACAAAAAGAGCTTTCCATACAAATTTTTAACACTTATTTAAATTTTAGTGGTTTTACTTTTTCTTTTCTTTGTCTCATCATATGTAAGGTTTTAGTACGATGATTATAAAAGATGAGATCCACGCCATATACACCTAAAAAGATATTAATTTTTCATTTTATTTTAAGATTCTGAAAGCAAATCCTGTTATTATTAGATTAGATCTTTCTGGCAGCTAAATTTTGATAATCAGATTCAAAATAGTTCAAATATGCTGAAGTATTTTAATTTATCAGGAGACTACACACCGAATTAGGCATGGGCATTCGGATTTTGAATCGGATTCGGATCGGATATAGTCGAATTTGAATAATTCGGGTATGAGAGTTTATTATCCGTTCGGATTTTATGACTTTTTGGTTCGGTTTCGGTTCAGATATATTTGGATTTGGATAAGAAAGTTTATTATCCGTTCGGATTTTATGAGTTATCGGTTTGGTTTCGGTTCAGATAGTGTCGGATTCGGATCGATTTTTGGGGGAAGAAAACTAAAAAATTGTTCAATTTAAATAAAAATTGGTTTAATCTTACTAAAATTTGGTTAAATTTTACAAAAATATGTGTAATTTTAACAAATATAACTAAAAAAATTCCGAGATTTAGGTTATTTAGGATATTTTTGTTATTTGCTATAAAATTATAACTAATATTTTTGGATATATAATCTTATTTTTGGTTTTCGGATTTCCTTTCGGTTTTTGGTTCGGATCGGAGGATCGGATTCGGTTCGGGTAATTCGGATAAGAGAATTATCCGTTCGGGTTTTTTTCGGATAAGACTATTCGGTTCGGATTCGGTTCCGGATTTTTTGGATCAGTTTTCGAATTTCGGGTTTTATGCCCAGCCCTACACCGAGTATTGATTCTAAATATCACTTATGTGTAGAATTATATGAAAATTCTCTCGAATGTCGTGATTTTTCATTCAAATATTTGGCTGCCAAATAATATTACGGCTTAAACGCTCTGGTCAGTGGAACGTTAACAAATATGTTTACGTGTACTGATAATTTGTTAACAATGAAGCCAAAACCACAATTCTTTATTACGAGGAGGTATTGTCATAAAAAATTTATCTAACATTATCCTAATGATTTTTGAATGTTTCCTAAGAAAATATATATACACTTTGTATAATAAATATTAAGGGAAAAAATTAAATTAGCCTCAGTAAACTAATTTGATTATAGAAGAAAAAAAGTAAAATATTTTCATTTTATTTTTGGGTGTTTGTTCTATAAAGCTAGTTTATTTTCAGTAAAAAAAAAAAAAGTAATACTATTTTTGGTTATTTAAAAATAAAACGTTCATACTTGGGCACCATGATCACAAAAAGTCCACTATAGTTATGTAGAACCTTTAACCAAAAGAACCCCAAAGATCAATATGAGCCCATGAAATAACAGCCCAAAAAATCTAAAATCCAATGTTTTATTTTATTTTAGGAGTAAATTAATACTATATTTGAATCTTATCTCCTTCCATGGTGATCCTTCTAAGTAGGTCTTAAGATTAAAATTTTTTTTTTGGATATACTTTTTGAAGATTACACAAAGGATTCATCAATACAAAAAAGAAGGATTTATAAATTAAAAACAAAGGATTGACCAAGTTAAATCCAAAGGATGCACCAACCATTGGAGGGTAATTTACAGCAGTTCGCCGGATAGCAGTATCTTTCGCCATTCGGCCCATTCCTAACCGTCCACAATTGAATCCTGTATAACCCCCAAGATAATATATAAGTTAGTTTCAACATGTTAAGCTTACTTAGTAAAATAGTCTTGTTAAAGCATTGCTGCTCAAATCCAGCTCCCTGAGTTTTATTAGTCTGCAAATCCCTAAATAGCCTGAAATTAATGAAATAAGAGTGTTAGAAATCAGAATAATCATCAACTCCATCTATAAAAGAGAGTAATAACAATAGAGATATATTCATCAACTCCATCATCCAATGAACTAATTAGACTTCAAAGACATGGAACTCGTTAAATAATCTTCTGTTCCCACAAATCACAATAGAGATATACATGAAGTCGATAAACTAATGAATGCGGCAGTGAATTTTAGCTGGGAAAAGCACTTGTCAATATCAATAGCAAACGTTTGGTGACACCAAAGGAGAAGAAGTATTCAACTTCTCAATACTAATAGTTATAAGAAGATGTGCTAGCCGGATTACAATTACGAATGACTGCCATTACCAACTTCAATTATTTCTTTGAATAGAAGTCAGATACATATAAAGTAGGCAATAACTTAACACAAGTTCTTACCAAGATCTTCCAAAACAGAGGGCTCGCTCTCTGTCTCTTTCACTTGTCTTTTAGGTTCAGCATCCCCTTGCTTCTTGTAATCATTTGGACGAACTTCAGAACCTAGCTTGCAGCATAAAGCCTTGAAGCTTCCTTCAACACCTAATCACAACCACGAATATATCACCCAGTGATTAGCCTAAATTTACTATCATCTAGAGAAGAAAGCACCAATTACTCTGATGATAGTGAGAAGTGGAAGTACAGACTTGTGACGAAACTTTTTGCTCAAAACTAGAGAATTCTCACATTTGTTTTCCAGATATTCCACAATATACATAAATGAAATCACACGCTTCCAGATTCTGTATCATCTCAAAACTGTGCTGATTAAAGACCTAATCGAGGATTCATATTGAACAAAAACAAATAGAGCACAAGAAGATCAGAGCACGAAAAAATGCCAACCTTTAATTGTTTATCCTTGAAAGAAAATTTTGAATACCCATATGCTATAAATTAGAAAACTAGCGGAAATTCAAAGAAAAAGAGGAAGGGATAGTGAAGGAAGCTCACGAGAAATCGCTCGACGTGAGGAGGATCAGGAAGAGGACGATTTCTTTCAGATCGTAATCGGAGACCTTACGATACACAACCTTCAGCTTCAACTTAGGTTTAGTTAGCTCCAAAAGCATCTCTCCGTCAAATTAATTTGAGAGAAATTTGGGAGAAATCGGAGAGAGCTAATAACTGCTCACTTTCTTACATGCACAATGTTTTTTCTTTAGTCTAAAACATAAATACGCACCGTACGTTATTAGTAATAGATTAAGATATCAATAATCCTATACTATTACTGTCACAACCAACCAGCGGCAGAGATCATAATTAATAAACTATACAACCAAAAACTGTGAGAAAAGGAATCACACAAATTAAAACATTGAAGGCATGAAAACAAGAGTAGAGATTCTAGGATCTCAAAGCAGCAAAATCATGGTTACGTGTTTTATACTTAAATCTATGAGTACGCTCCTGCACGTTACTGTAATGGTCGTCTTTGTTTAGGGCTTTTTAAGTTCCGTGTATTGCGTGTGCTTAATTAGACTTCGTTTTCTTCATTAACCTTTTTTTTTAAATGAACGAATTAAAGATTCCTTAAATTCTTTAACAAAGGAAAACAAGATTCCTTAAAACAAACAGGTATTAATTGGAAAGATAAAATAAAAAATTTGACTTAAATATTCGAAAATTGATTTTAAAAAGTGATAATACTTCATAGCAGAGGAAATATGGTCATGGCCATCGAGAAACATGTAGACAAGGCCATGTGATGTAATTTGAAGATGCTAATTCGGTCATATTCAACATATCAACAATGAGGAGGGGATATTTTTTGGGTATGTATAGGTTGGACAGAGCATCTGAGGTGTTACGTTGAATAGCGGGCATGAATTTGATGTAACGAAAAAAAAAAATTGACGTAACGAAAAGAAGGACAAGAAAATCTGAGATAGTGATTAGTCATAGTAAGTCTGATGCCATGTAGATAGATTTAGGAATCCTCTCCTCATAAATTAGAAGTTCTTTTATTTTTTGTTTAAAATACGAAATTTAAATTAATTCGACAAAGTTTTGACAACCTTCAAAGTAGCTCAACTGAAAAAGCAAAGCTATATTTCCCTTCTAGTACGAAGACTTGATATGAGTGGGACTCCTTCACGTACACGTAACATGTACCAGGCCCTTATTATAGTTAAAATACGTAATTTTGAATTAATTGGACAACGTTATTTAGAAGCTCTTAGACTTATTATAGGGATGAGAGTTTACAAAGATCAGAAATGAAGAATAATGTATGGATTCATGATTTAGAGTTCAAGGAAATAATGATGCTTTTAATTTCTCTCATAAGCTCCTGTCACTAATACGTTTACAAAAGGATGGGGGACATCGAAGCAATTTCCTAACTTCAATGCCTGAATCAGAATTATCTGAGAAAACAATTATTATGTTATTTTTTTAAAATAATGAATCTGGCTTTATACGTCAGCCTAGTACAGAGCACAATTTAAAGGTGGCAAAAGGAAACAAGAAAAGTCTAAAACCTTATCTTCAAACACTATGAAAACTAATGAACATGCAGTTACCAACCTCTTGTTTTTTGTTTCTCCCGAAAATATGATTGTTATTGATAGCACTTATCGTCCTTTATTTTTTCAAACGCACAAAGATCAAAGAAATTAACATTCATAATTCCATCCGTGTGTGATGTACTGATTTTGTTAAGATCTCACATCTAAAGAAAATATGTCAATCCTTGCTTATTTATTTTGGTGGCACGGTGGTCATGGTTTAAGGCAAGATAGTAGATTCATTACACCCTGTGTGCAAACACTATGCTTCTTTTTTTAGTCAGAACCAAACACTATGTCTAAGCCACCTAATTAGCCACAAATTTTACCCGTAACAAATTTCGGAAAACTCCTAGTCAAAGAAGTTACTCACATCTATAATAAGTTAGAATCTTGGGTTAACGGAGGATACATTAGGTTTAAGTCTCCCTCTCTCTTTTTATATAAATAAATGAAAATTAATGATTTCCATGGAAAATACTAATTACATGTATTTATCTCGTTGATAAAGTTATATTTCTTAAAAATCAAGAGGACTAGTGTACAAAACTACAAATGCAATACCGTGTTAAACATGTATAAACTCCAATCATTTGAGTCAAATGGATGCGTAGCAAAAAACAATCAAACCCGTTTTATTTTTATATGTCAAGTAAATCATGTTCGTTTGGACTATATAAAAAGAACTCATCAAAACAAATGTTTCCTTAAGAAAATCTCAGATATATATATATATAACACCAGTGTTCTGAAAAAAAAAGACAAACATGTCGTCCGGTAAAATCCAGGTACGAGGGCAGCCACTTCCTAGGGTTCCAGCAAGAAACCACCATATGACACACTTGCTTGTTTGCGACGTTTCCACAAAACGCTACCACCGTGAAATCAACGCAATCAGCCGTAATAGAAGTCCATCGTTGGATTCGGTCCCAACAAGAACCGACAAGAGGCAGTTTCTTCGTGGTGACGGCAACGGTAAATTCGGGAGGTTCGGTGGGAAGTTTGTACCGGAGACATTGATGTCTCGCCTGATAGAACTTGAAGACGAATTTAATTTTGTTATGAGCGATCACGAATTTCAGGTTGGTTTTTCTCATATTTTGAGCTTATTGCAAATAAAAGAGAAAAACAAAACCAAAAGGCAAGTTCAAATAAATTGCAATTGGATATTTATTTTTTTGTTTAGGGAAATAAACATTGTTTAAATAAAACATAATTGCTTTATTTTTAATTATAACTAGGAGGAGCTTACCACATCGTTAAGAGACTACGTAGGAAGAGAAACGCCTCTCTACTTCGCCGAACGTCTAACCGAACACTACAAGAACATAGTTCCAACCATCGAAGGTGGACCTGAGATATACCTGAAACGGGAAGATCTTAGCCACTGTGGGTCTCACAAAATCAATAATGCTCTCGCTCAGGCCATGATTTCCCGGCGGCTTGGTTGCAGCCGTGTGGTGGCGGCCACTGGAGCCGGACAACATGGAGTCGCCACAGCGGCTGCATGTGCCAAGCTCTCCTTGGAGTGTACCGTTTTCATGGGAGCTACTGATATAGAGAAACAATCCTTTAATGTACGTTCCATGAAACTCCTTGGTGCTCAGGTAACTTGCGATTACTATTTCAACTCATAACCAAACAAAACCGGATCCGGTTCGCAGCATATAGAAATTTTTTTAATTTATCCAAAAAAAAAAGCATTAAGAAAAACAACATTTTTAGTATTTACAGTACTTTGTTATATGTTTTAACATATGTTGTGTTTGAATATTTGTTCAGTTTTAAAGTTATGGTGTATAAGATATGGGACCACTCCCTTTTTAAAATATACTTAATTATATTATAAAATTTCAGTAGACCAAGTAACATTCCTGCGATAAAGTGTTTGAGCAACATAGTTACCGTAATATTATTAGTAAAGGAAGTAAAATGTTGGTATCTAACAATAAAATTAAAAAGTTTTATGTAAATGTCACCAAAATTATCATCACTAACACTAAATTTTGTTTGATTTCTAAATAGATGAGTTTTAAATGTAAAACAAATTATGTATACAGAACTTAAAATTCGTTTTATATATTGATCGATCTTAAAAGGTGAAATCAGTGGAAGGAACATTCAAAGATGCAAGTTCAGAAGCTATTCGAAACTGGGTCGAAAACCTATATACCACATACTACTTATCGGGTACTGTGGTAGGACCGCATCCGTATCCGATAATAGTACGTGAGTTTCAATCTGTGATCGGGAAAGAGACAAGAAGGCAAGCCAATCAACTCTGGGGTGGTAAGCCTGATGTATTGGTGGCTTGTGTGGGAAGTGCCTCCAACGCATTGGGTTTGTTCCATGAGTTTGTTGGGGATAAGGATGTGCGGTTAGTCGGTATCGAGGCTGCGGGGCTCGGTCTGGATTCGGGGAAACATTCAGCTACTTTGGCCGTTGGAGATGTTGGTGTATACCATGGTTCCATGAGCTATTTATTGCAAGATGATCAAGGACAGATACTTAAACCACACTCCGTAGGAGTTGGGTAAGTGTTATAGTTATAATCTCAATATAGATTTGGTAGGAACCTCGACTAGATGATCTGAGTTAATCATCTCGATTGGAAAAACTAAACTAATCTCTTTTAAAAAAAAAAATCATTTGAAAATAAATTAGTCTAAGTAGATATCATAATTATTTATTTCCATTTAAATTTATTTTAAATAAATGAATTACAAGCCTTGACATAGAAATTCTAAATTTACCATGTGATAAAGACATAAAGTAGTCATTGAGTGTGTGTTTTTTTTTTTGTTAAGAAAGTGTAGTCATAGAGGCTGATGCATCGTTAATAAAATTATACGATATAATATCTGAAGTCGTCTTATACATTTGTACTTGTACAAGTTAAAAAAAAAAAGTTATTTTGCACGTCCTTTTAATAAAATAACGTTTATCACATGCAATATGGCATATGCAAGTCACGTCTCCTGATCAGCTATGAACCGGTCTGATTGAACCGGATATTTTTCCTGGCTGAATCAAAATTCCAAGCTGGGAATAATATGCGATTGGGTAAAATTAATTTTGAAAACCAAGTATATAGCAAAGAGAAGTATTATATTGACGTAATATATTGACAGATGCTTGATTACATGGTCGTAGGTTAGAGTATCCAGGAGTTGGACCGGAGATTAGTTTCATGAAAGAAACTGGCAGAGCCGAGTTCTATACAGCAACAGACGAAGAAGCCATTCAAGGTACGTACCTCTATAGTTACTTACTACTAATGTTTTCTTTATAATTTTTACAAGAATTGTTATTACATAAAACATTAATCTTATATCTTGTCGACTGCAGCGTGCATGCGATTAAGCAGATTGGAGGGAATAATACCGGCACTGGAAGCGTCTCACGCGCTCGCGTTCCTCGACAAACTCGTTCCTACTCTGCGCGATGGAGCCAAGGTGGTCGTTAATTGCAGTGGCCGTGGTGACAAAGATTTAGATACTCTCATCCAACGAGGCATGCCCTCTTCTTTGTGTTGACTCACCAAGATGCCACATTACACTTAACTCTTTTAGAAAACGTATCGTCTAATTACAACCATCATTATAGATGATATACTAATATATCAATTATTATTTAAAATTTCGATTAGGATGTAATATAATGAATAAGATCTGTAACTACAATTTTATTCAAAGGGAAACGAACATATCAACAATTGACGATTACTGACCCGGCTCTGAGCTAAAGCAGTTGAAGCTTGTGCTTTAGGCACCAAAAATATATTATTAATTTTAGGGCGTCATTTGCTGAAAAAGATGCATGTGGTGTAGCAGCAGTGTCTTATTTTAGTAGGCAACAGGTCCCGAGTTCAAAACTTTATAACTGTTTTTTGTGAATTTTTTACATTTATGTGTTAGTTGGGCAAAAAAAAAAAATTTCCTACTTTAGGCATATAATTA